TGTCAGGACGCACAAAAGACCGAGCTCGTGAGGAGGCTGAACACTGGAGGAATAGGCAGCAAGCACTGCCAGAGGGGAGGGACGGGTGCCAGCTTGTTACTCTCAGCCATGCGTGTGTCAGAGAGAGAAACTGAGGCAGAGTGTGTCACCGTGAGCACCGGGCAGACCCCCCACACCTCTGTGCCTTGCGTGGCTCTGTGGGGCAGCCTGGGAAACCCTGCCCTTCCCCTCCACCTTTCCCAGGCCCATCCCAAACCTGCCTCCTCCAGGAGCCCCTAGGATGGCTCAGAGCTCCCTCGGTATTGCCTACAGCCTGCACTTGTAATTTATCAAGCGCCCGTCCTGGGTTATTTTGCTATCCTGTGTAATGAGCACTTCGAGACTGTCCTCCTTAGCACCAGGCACAGAGCCAGGGTTCAGTAGAAAGTAAACAAGGGTTAAACTCAACTGAACAGCTAATCCCTCCAAAATCCAGGAGACTAGGTAGAGCAGCTGCATAGGCAATTTGGCCTCTGCCCCTGGAAGCTTGCACTGAGCATGAATGAAGGCATGAGCACAGACAGAAGCATGCACGCACAGGATTAGAGGCGCCGCACACTGTCCTCCATGGCAGGCAGCCACGTTCTCACCCGGGAGGTGCAGGAGGGAGAGCATCGGGGGGCATGGGTGCCAGTTTCGGTCCTGCTTCTGCAAGGAGCTCTCCGCAGGAGCTGCCCTGGGCGCGAGTCCCCGCTGCGCAGGCGGGATCTAGAGGCTCCGTAGGCCAGGGTGTGAGGGCTGTGCAGGGAGGCCGCAGCCCTCACGGTGATGCTGTGCCCTGTGTGCAGGATGGAGAACCTCTTCGTCAACCGCTTCATGCACATGTTCCAGTCGTCCTGGAGTGACTTCGCCGACTTTGAAAAAATCTTTGTCAAGATCAGCAACACTATTTCTGGTGAGTGTGCCTGTGGGGCTCTCGCGGTGCTGGGGAGACTGCCTGGCAACGGGAAGGGCCGCCCGCCCTGCTCCAGCG